AGGAACACAGGACTGATGACAGAGACAACAGGCAGGAACTAATCACCATACACAGCAGCAGCAAATGAACAGCCAGTGCCATAAAATTCATAAATGCACAGCTCCATGAAATAAAAGCAAACATGAACAGCTGTCTGTGTCCATGCCAGTCACATGCAGCAGGGGGGCTACCTCGGGGGGAATGGAGTACAAATGATATGATTGCCAGCAGTTGGAGTTTATGACACAGATAATGTAACAAACCCTAGCACACAGAGAGAGACTGCATCTAGATTCAGATGGATCTAGCAGTCTACCGGGAATGCAAAAGGAATACCTCTCACATCACTACTGCTCAGCCTAGCATTATACCAGCTCTGCCCATTCAAAATCAACTCTTTGACCCAGGAGCATAATCCATCTGGGACTCCCAGTCACTACAGTCACTGTTGTTTCAGAGATGAAAAGCTAAGAGGGCAACTAACCAAACAGTATTTTACAACCACTGTGCACTGATGTCAGTGATTGTGCAAAGCAGTGGAGCACCCAACCAAATCAGTGGCAGAGCTCAGATAAGAAGCCAGATTTCCTGGCTAACATCTCCCAGGAGTTTTTAAATCACAAACCCAGGGGTATCAAAACTCATTCAGGAGAGCAAGTCAAATTACATCTTTAATGATACACAATGGATCCGGTTTACAGTGTTAGGGTTTCGTATAAAACAGCCAATTCACCAAACAGCGCCTACCCTGGCATAATTGCACAAGGGACAGCCAGACCCAGTACTTACAGACCCCAGGGGCTCAAGGCCCCCTGCCCATCTAGTTCCTAAGAGCCCCTCAAAGTAACAACAGTGTTTTCATGGCCCTCTGCAAGTTGAGTGAGCCCCTATTTTGAAGTTCATAGTTGGTGGTAAGATGTATACTACACTGGGATCCCAGTATCTATATCCACAGTAGGCCCCATTGTTGTGAGGGGCACCATTTCAATTTCTGCGGGGATTCCCGTATGTGTGAAGGCTCCCATTTCTAGGTTCACAAAGTATAGGTTAGCATGTGGGTGCTTGGCTCCCACAGTGTGTGGAGAGGTGTCTCACATAGATCCAGAGCCTGCGTTTGCTAGGACCCGTGTGAGTGTGAGGGTCACTTCCCACCCTGCTGATGTTTCACAAGTCTGCAAGGTGTGAGAAGCAGAGTCATCTCCATGTGGGGGAAGCTCTGTGTCCTTTCATGTCCTTCTGGCTGGCTCCTGAGCCTCCCAGACCCTGCCTACTCCTCAGCAGCAGCCACCGAAGCTCAACTCAGCAATTAGTAGAAACAGCATCTATGGTAAGGCCAGCTGGACGGATGAGAGAGGAGCTGGTAAAACACGCCTGGCTCCTTCTCTCTACTGACTCTTGCTCCCACTCCAAATTCAATCCTACACATGGAACCCACAGTCAACAGCTGGATCATTGAACAGGCAATATAACAGCAGCAGAGGCAGCTGCAAAAACTGTTACTCTGTGTCTCTCCTTGTGCCCTGCATATGCTAAGCTGTAATAAGACATAAGAACCTCGCTCTGTCTTTCTCTCTCTCTCTCTCTTTCATACACAAACTCATGTGTATGCCGACATTCCCACACCTAGATTTGTGCACACTCCCTTAAACCCACAAACATAAGCACACCTGTGTACAAGCACCCACTCATCTGCATACAAAACCCCCCATGCACACAAACACACAGTCGCATACATACATCATCAGTCAGATGCACAGATTCACACAAACATGCATAAAACGGGATCTTCGGATTCATTCTTAGGCATGAAAAGAGATTCCCTCCCCCCCCCACACACACACCCTTCTCCTGTAGTACTCCACAAAGTGCCTGCCACAGCCCACAGTTCTGGTCTGAATCAAGATACAATGGCTGTAACTGTTGCTATTGAACAGGTGCAAAAAGGGAACCCACAAAGCATCCGGCTGCCTGTGTCGCTAGAGTACTTAACCTTCAGGGACTGACTTGCACCCCCACACATATCCTGTGAAGGGGGAGCAAAGATGACTGTTGCCTGCGGGGAAGGTGCAGGGAGGGCCACCCAGCGGAACAGGGAGGGGGCACGAGGAGGCACCCCATTTAGCAATGAACATTGTGGTTGGGAGCAGAGGGGGCGGTGCTCCCCCCACAGGCTACCACAGTCACCTGTGGGGGGAGAAGGAATCACTAGCCTGGGCCAAAGGGACATGCAAGGAGTAAATTCGGCTGAGCACTAATCCAGGCTGGAGCAGCCCGGGTCTCCCTGTGGCCTCCGTGCCAGAACAGAGGACGCTGCCTCCCCAGCTGCTCAGGAGCGCACTAGTCCCCCGCACAGCCCGAGCATGGCACCTCTCTCTACTGTGCCCTCCACAACAACGTGACTTGTCTGCTGGATGAGCACTGACCACCCCCCCCTGCCACTCCTCAGCGCCTCCCCCAGCATTTCCCTAGCATGGGGAGTGGGACGCCTCTGTCTGGCACTCTGGCTTTGCGGGGTCCTCCGCGCACCGGTGCGTGGCTCAGGGTGCATTTCTTC